TGGTACGGGGAATTGAACTCAGGGCCTTGTGCATGTTAGGCAAGCACTCTAGCACTGAGCTACATCCCCAACTCCCCCCTTGTTATTTACGCTCTCCCTTCACTCTTGTCGGCTCTATGGGACACTTCTGTTCTTCAACCACATAAAGCCCCTCTTGTCTCAGAGCTCCTGAGACTAGAACTCAGCTTGGGATGGTCTGCATCTTCACAGCTCACGTTATTATATCCTCTAAGGTGCCCCTTTGTTAGCTAACTCTTTTTTTTTTTTTTTTTCTGGTACCAGGAATCGAACTTATGACCTTGAGCTTGCCAGGCAGGTGCTGTGCCACTGAGCTAAATCCCCAGCCCCTGTCAGCTAATTCTATAAGGTGACAACTGAGTCAGGTTACTCAACAGAAAGTAATTCAGTTCCACCCACTTGTGTGCTCCCTTCCCCTGGTTTATTTATCTTCCTCCTAACATGTATACTCGCTTACTTCTCCACATTATGTAAGCTCCAGGAGAGCAGGATTTTAGTTTTCTATTGTATCCCCAGCACCTTGCACAGTACTTAGCCTATAGTAGATAGTCAATAAAAATCTTATTTTAGCTCTGGGTACGGTGGGGCCTGAATGTAATCCCAGCACATGGGAGGCAGGATGATCATGAGTTCAAGCACACTTAGAGAGATGCTATATTTATTTATTTCTCTTTTTGAGACAGGGTCTTGCTATGCAGTTCAGGCTGGCCTTGAGCTCACTTTGTAGCCCAGGCTGGTTTTGAACTCACAACGATCCTCCTGCCTCAGCCTCCCAAGTGCTGGGATTACCAGTGTGTGCCACCATACCCAGCCAAACAAATCCTGTCTTTTTTTTTTTTGTTTGGTACCAGGAATCGAACTCTGGCCCTTGCACTTGCCAGGCAGGCACTTATGCCATTGAGCTATATCCCCGGCCCACTATCTCAATTTTTAAAAAACCCTTTAGTTTTAATAAATAAATTTTAGCAATACAGGGGTTTACTTTTTGTTGGATATGATGGCATGCACCTGTAATCCCAGCAGTCTGTGAGACTGAGGCAAGAGGATCCCAAACTAAAACCTAGCCTGGGCAATTTAGTAGGATTCTGTCTCAAAATAAAAAAATAGAAAGGGCTGAAGATAGAGCTCAGTGTGAAGGCTCTGGGTTCAATCCTCAGAAGAGAGAGAGAGAAAGAAAAAAAAGAGACCCAGCCAAAAGTGTCTTTAGAGGTCAGGAGAGGGTGAGATTATTTTCGTTCTCCCAAGAAGCCAGAGGCAGGAGACCAAGCCAGAGGGTCATCTTTGGAATTGTCCACTTAGAATGTCTTAGAGGTGACCTGAAAGGTCTCGTCCAGAAGGAAAGTGGGGGTGGAGGGTGGACACCGAAAGGAATCCCTCAGGCTGAAATGAATGGAGTTAGGCAGAAATTGAAAGCCATACAACTGCATATGTAAATTCAAAAGCTGGTATACTGCTGCTGAGTGCGGTGGTGCTCAGAACTAACCAGTCGTGACCAGTTTCAGATTTCTTTGTTTCTTCTCTATTTCCATCGCTTCATTTGACCACAACAAAACAAAACAAAAACCACATACACAAAATCCCCTTTAATTGCAGTTTCTGTTTCTCAGTGCTGGGGATCAAGCCCAGGCCCTTGCCCAGGCTAAGCATGGATTCTCCATGAAGATAAACCCCTAATCCTAGTTTTTGCTTCCTTTTTTTCCCAGGACTGTGGACTGAACTCAGGGCCTTAGCAGTGAGTTCCATCCCTTACTCTTTTTATTTTGAGGCAGGGTCTAAGTCGCTAAATTGCCCAGGCTCATCTCAAACTTGCAATCATCCTGCCTTAGCCTCCCCGAATGCTGGATTACAAGCATGTGCTACCATGCCTGCTTTTTGTTTTTACCTGCTTTTTATGATTCCTATATGATTTAGAGGACAGTTGCATAAAGCAGTAACTGTAACTGTATGCTAACGAACAAATGATATATGAAGATTTCATTGGTGACAATAAACAGAAGGTGGGGGTGAGAAAGCTGTATGAAAGCAGAGATGTTTGTTTTGCAAGGCTGGAGATTAAACCCAGGGCCTTGTGTGTGTTAGATAAGTACTGTACTACGGAGCTACTTCTCCAGTTTTTTTACACTTTGAGACAGGGTTGTCCAGGCTGGGTTTGAACTTGTGAACCTCCTGTTTCAGCCTCCCAGTGTGCTGTATCACAGGCTTGCACCACCATACTTGCCTTGGCTTCTCTAGGCTTTTATCATTCAATTGTTCTAAGGTCGGGAGGCTGAGACAGGAGGATCCTTGTGGGTTCAAGGCCAGTCTGGGCTACAAAGTGAGTTCAAGACCAGTCTGAGCTGCTGAGCGAGATCCAGTCTCAAAAAGACAAAAAAAAAGTCAATTGTTCTAAGGGCCTTTGTGTAACAGGGTCTTAGAACATCCCAATTCTGTGCAAACAGTGTATTCAACTGTTAAGTTAAAAATGTTAGTGGGACATGGTTAGTGAGTTACGGAGATCATGTCTCCAAAAAAAAAAAAGAGCTGGGGAAGCAGCTCCATGTAAAGGCCCTGGGTTGTTCAATTCCCAGTACCACAGGCTACACTCCAGTTCATTACCTTCCTGTCTCAGCCTCCCAGACTACTGGGATTATAGGAATGCACCACCACAGCTGGCTCCTGTACATGATTCCTAATTCCACTCGTCTCAATCTGTAAAATTAGAATGAGGGTGACCAGTTCATATGATGAGTTCTTTTTTTTTTTTTTTTGGTTTTTCTCCGGTACCGGGAACCAAACTCACGACGTTGCGCTTGCCAGGCAGGCGCTTTGCCGCTGAGCTAAATCCCCAGCCCCAATATGATGAGTTCTTGAATCCACTGTATGTATGCCTAACCGCTGTTATTGCTGATGGTGCCTTGAATTACATCTTTTGAAATAATCACTCCTCTCTGTTCCCCAGGCTGCTCCTGACCTTTACCGCTTTCTCTGAACATTTGCTGCTAGATTGGGGGGAGTCCTCTTACCTCTGGTACACCCCTCCCCTCTTAGCCCTGTCCTGTTTCACAGCATGCATCATGCTGCTTTGTAAGCTCCCTGAGGCAGGGATTGTTTAATTCACTTTAGCAGACAAGTAGTGTCTGTCCCACTACCACCCTTGAGACAGTAGAAAAAGGCATCAGACACAGTTCACCGATGACAATTTATTATTTGTTGGCAGCACACAGACCAAATAGGAATTAGACCAGAATTATGTCTACACAGAAGTGGGCAATGATAGATGCCGTTCTAGGGGGGAACATGTGCGTTTAATCATGTTTTAGTTGCTTGATCTTCTGCTTATGTCGTTCAATTTCTTTCTCCATACGCTCAATTTCCTTTTTATGGTGATAGATCTCATCTTCGTGATGTTTCTTCAAGGCTGCCAGTTGTTCTCTAGTCTTCTGTCTATAAGGACATAGTGGCTCAGGGCTTAATTCCGATCCTTTACCCCAAAGAGATTTTTAAGCATAACTTGCAGTCCCTGGGACAGTGCCCCCACCCCATGGGTAGTCATGCTCTTCTACCTTGACTGCGCTAGTTAAAGAATACCCAATCATAAACTAAGGTGTCTCCATCTGAAGGAGGATCACCAACACGATCCCATTGCCCCGGTGTAGGAAACAGAACACACTAGCACTCGGCGTAACCGATGTCATACCTTTATGGAGTTTTCTATTTAAATACCTTATACGTTACAAGCTACGTAGTAGAAAACTCCAGAAAGAGGTGACATTAGTTCCAGATACTTTATCAGAGGAACAGCCCAGAGAATCAGAGGCCTTTTTGGAAAAAAGAAAAAAGAAGCAAAAGAAGGGAACAGGCAAAGACACGTGGTTAAGGTAAAAATATTGCATTCCAATTTGCTTAGGCCTTTCTTTGCCTGCAGAAATGCATGGTCCAGGTAAAGACCCAGAAGAAGGGTGTCTTGCAAGTACAGTGCTTAGCGGGCCAATTTACGTAGGTGCCACTATGACACACGTTTTTTTCTTTTTTGTTTTTTGCTGCTGGGATTGAACCCTGGGACTCTTGTGTGCTATGCACCTACTCTACCACTGAGCTACACCCCCAGCCCCATGATTAATCTTAGGGCACAGACCAAATGTGAAGCACACGCAAGATTAGTTCCTCGCTGCTCCTTAGCGTGGAGAAAAGTCAGTTAAAGATAACTCAGAGCTGGGAAAGCAAGCAGATATGCCCACTCCTGCCCCTAGTCCTAAGCAATCTCTAGCCCAGAGCCTGGGCTGGGTTAGGGCAAAAGTCTCCAGGAGGCGGTAGAGGGCAATCCTGGCCAGGAGCTGCCAGTTCTGACTACCCAGTCATCCCGGAGGAGTCGGGTCTAGAAACAGCTGATGCTGGGCGTGATGGCGCATGCCTGTAATCTCAGCACTCGGGAGGCTGAGGCAGGAGGATCGTTGCGAGTTCGAGACCAGCCTGGGCTACAAAGTGAGCTCAAGGTCAGCCTGAACTGCATAGCGAGACCCTGTCTCAAAAAGACAAAAAAAAAAAAAAAAAAAAAAAAAAAAAAAAAAAAAGTGGAAACAGCTGAGAGGCTCTGAAAAAGCAGGGAATCCACGTGGGTTGGCAAAGCTAAAGCGTGTGTGGGCGGAGGGAGGGCGCGATTGGTAAGCGAGACTTCACCGAGTCAGGCTCGGAGACTCAGCAAATTATTGGACGGTCGGATCCAGGCACTGCGAGAATATTTCGCTCCGCCCAGCCTCGAGGGCCAGGAGATGGTGAATGATAAACAAGGGCCGAGCCGAGGGCTGAGCGTCCCGGAGAGGGTGGGAAGGCTGCGCTTGGGATCTAAGTGCAGCTGCGCAAAGGACAGGGCGCGCCCTGCAGGTGGCAAAGGCCAGCAGCCGGAGTGTGTGGGGGGGAGACTCGAGGCACCGGGGCGGGCGGGCGCCTGGAAATGCAAGGAGGGCTGGAAGGCTCTGGCGGCCCTTACCGGAAGAAGCGCTCCTCTTCCGCCTGCTCTCTCTTGCTGAAGGCTCCACCGGCGTCCCGGATCGAGCCGGAAGAGCTGTCATGATCCTGCGGGGAGACACCCGGGCATCGGTCGGGGTGCAGGGGGAAGGATGGGATCCGCGCTCGGGGGTGGGGCGGCGGATGCTGCCGCGGCGTACCTTGTCTGAGCTGAGGCCTCGGGTTTGCATGGCCCTCGCTCCCCAAACGCCGAGCCGCGCCCGAGACGCCAACGCCGTACCTGCCATTGTCCCTAACACAGTAGCCTCTCGTCACTTGGCGTGGCAGCTTCTCTATAGGCGCTAAACTCTCGGCTGGCCAAACAGCCAGTCTTTTCGGAAAGGAGGCGGGACATGTGTAGGAGTGGCGAATCAGGAGAGAGAAGAGGCGGGGCTTCTGGAGTCCACAGCGAATCCTGAGCGAGAGGCGGGACTATCCCTAACCAACCGTGAACAACGGCTCCCGGGCCAAAGGAAAAGACACTTCTATAGGTGGAGGTTGGAGAGGCGGATCCTTAGCGCGTTGGAAGCAGGAATTTTTGGCTCTGGGACCATCCGTATGACAGAGGGATGCAGTTCTACAGTTGATGTTATTAAACGGAAAGCGAACCCTCCCTCTCCCGGCTTATTGATATCATTAAGGTTGTGACTATGAGGGAGGGGTTAAGACGTTGATGTTCAGCCCTTCAACCTCCAATATGCCCTTTCAAAACCACGTTCATCTCTTAGGACGCGCCGGTGTTCTTTTTACTCATTGACATTGCAATGTCAACTCTCAGTTTAAATTTCACCTTCTCAGACAAACGTTACCCGAGCTTCTTAATCATTCACCAGCGATTCTAGCACATCTCCCAGTTTCGTATCTTGCCTCCCTCACGCGGGTCACCTTGTGAAGCCATCAGGGTCTTAAGTAGCTAGTGAATTAATATTCGTAAACGGTTTTAATATGTTGTTGTTTTTGTTTTCTTTAGGTCTTTTGGAGACAGGGTCTCGCTATGCAGTTCAGCCTGGCCTTGAGCTCACTTTGTAGTCCAGGCTGGTCTCGAACTCGCAACAATTCTTCTGCCTCAGCCTCCCGTGTGCTGGGATTACAGGCATGCGCCACCACCCTGGCTAATATGTTGTTGAATGCACTTGATAACTGAAATTTTAGTAACAGGGTGTGATTGAACGGAGTCTAAGAAAGGTTTTGCCTTTTTATTCATCTAATAAACGTAAGACAACAATAGCCATGAAATTTACAGACCTTGTCTACGTAATTTTCTCTGGGCCTAGTTTATTTTCCTTTACATGAGAAGTTTGGGCCAGATTATTAGCTTTTTTTTTTTTGGTACCAGAAATCGAACTCAGGACTTTGTGCTTGCCAGGCAGACACTTGTGCCACTGAGCTACATCACCAGCCCTTATCTTATTTATTTTTATAGAAGGTTTTTTTTGAGAGTCTTGCGATATAGCTCAGCTGGAGTCATACTCACCATCTGTCATGATCTTTCCGCTACAGCCTCTTTTGCTAGTATTACAGGGGTGCACCACCAGGCCTGGTCAAAATAGCTTTGTTTTCTTTTTTTCCGGTACCAGGAATCGAACTCACGACCTTGTGCTTGCCAGGCAGGTGCTGTGCCGCTGAGCTAAATCCCCAGCCCCTGCTTTGTTTTCTATGAAATAAAAATAATATTTTTTGGAGACAGGGTCTCACTATGTAAGTTAGGCTGGTCTTGAAGTCACTGTGTAGCCTAGACTGGCCTCCTGCCTCCAACTTCCAAGGCTGGAATTACAGGTGTGTGCCAACACAACCCGCCATAAAATTGGTTGGTATTGATTATCTTTTAGTTGGGAAAATACCAGCTCTAGTTTGTATGACTTTTATTTTTTTTTAATTTTTTTTTTTTTTTAATTTTGGGGGAATGGCAATTGAACTCAGGACCTTGTGCTTGTCAGGCAGGTGCTGTGCTGCTGAGCTATATTCTCGGCCCTGTATGACTTTTAAATGGGAGGCTCTGATAACCTCATCTTCAAGTGTTCACTATAGAAAATAAAAAAGTAGAAGAATGAAAATAATAAAATGGGTGTCGTAATCCCAGCACCGAGAGGCTGAAGCGGGAGGATCACTGTGAGTTTAAGGCTGGCCTGAACTACAAAGCAAGACCCTGTCTCAACAAACAAATAAATTGAGCCAAACCAAAACAAAGAAAGAATAAAAATAATAATCTCTTACAAGACTAGTTATAATTTGGTGTTTCTAGATGATCTTTGAGTGCCATTCCCCTTTCAGAAACTTTCTATGGCTGGGGGTATAGCTCAGTGATAGGGGGCTTGCCTACCATGAGTCCGATCCTTAGCACCACAAAACAAACAATAAGCCACACGGTCTCTAGTTCTCAGGTGCTGTTGTATCTTGATCATCTCCTAGGCTGAGCACCCAATGGGAGATCCTGCTGAGCTTGCACTAAAGATCCCTGGAGGCACTGGAATGCTATAATAAAAAATAAAATAAATAAATGAAGGCAAATAATGAGTGGAGAAATTGCTGAGACATTGCTGGTGGGAATGCAAAATAAATCAGTTGAGGTAGAAAAGGGCCTGAGGTGGTTCAAAAAATTTACCATAGAATTATCACAAGATAGTCGCCTAGTGGAGCACACCTGTGACCCCATCATTCTGGGAAGCTGAGGCAGGACAATAGCAAGTTTGAATCCAGGCTGGGCAACTTTGTGACTCAGTGAGACTCTGTCTCAAGAAGATGAGAAAGGATTATAGATGTAGCTCAGTGAGAAGGCCTTAGGTTCAATCATCAGTTGTCTTTTTTTTTTTTTTTTGGAGACACGGTCTCACTGTGCAGTTCAAACTGGTCTTGAGCTCACTTTGTAGCCCAGGCTGGTCTCAAACTCGCAAGGATCCTCCTGCCTCAGCCTCCTGAGTGCTGGGATCAATCATTAGTATTAAATTAAAAAAGAAAAGAAAATATGCTAAGTGAAAAGAACCAGGCACAAAAGGGCACATATTGTACGATTCCATCTACATTAAATACCCAGAATAAGGTAAATCCACAAAGACAGAACACATTGATGTTTGTCAGGAACTGGGGAAAGGGATAACTGCTTAATGGGTACCAGATTTCCTTTAGAGAGGACTGTTACGGAACTAAATAGCGGTGGTGGTTTCACAGTACTGTCAACTCTAAAGTCCACTGTGTTGTTCCACTTTAAAATAGCCAATTATATGCATTATCTACTTCATCACAATTTTCATTTCTCATTTTTTTTTTTTTTTTTTGTCTTTTTGAGACAGGGTCTCAGTATGCAGTTCAGGCTGACCTTGAGCTCACTTTGTAGCCCAGGCTGGTCTCGAACTCGCAACGATCCACCTGCCTCAGACTCCCGAGTGCTGGGACACAGGCACGCACCACCACGCCCGGCTTCCTCACAATTTTAAAAACATCCACTTGGGACCTGGAGCGCTTTAAGGGTTCGTAGGCGGGGGAGGCGGGGCGAGAGGCGGGCTGAGCCGGGTCACGTGAGGGCGCTTGCGCAGAGGGTCACGTGGGGCCTGCGCCGGGAAAATGGCGGCTTCGGGAGAGAGCGGCGCCTCGGGCGGCGGGGGCAGCACCGAGGAAGCATTTATGACCTTCTACAGTGAGGTGACCACCGAGAGGAACAGTAGCTCTAGCGGGGACGGGCTTAGGCCTCCTTTCCCGTGGGCGGAGGGCGCAGGCCGCCTGGCCGGGACCGTTGATCGGCCCCTGTCTGGCCTTCGGGGCAGTGGAGGGCCGGGGGTCGGTGGTGCGCGCGCCTCTCCCGCGGGTAGCTGCGGGGCATCCCGGGGACGAGGAAGGAGGGGCAGGAGCCTGAGTTTGCTGAGGGCGCCCGTGAGTGTGGCCGGCGGGCGCGGGCAGGGAGCCCAAGGCCGTGGAGCCGCGCGATCGCGGAGGCTGCGTCGTTCTTGGGGGTGACTTAGCTGTCTTGGCTGATTTTTATTCTAAACAGAAGCGTTCTTTTTCTCTCTGCGTTAATGAGCAGGCAGTATGCATCATGACAGGTAGGGCGTTATATCACCCCCAGTTTTACAGATAACAAGCTTGAGGTGTAGAGAAGTGTGGAAATTTAATTTGTTTGGGATCTTACAGTAGGTAATACTAGCTTGGTGTTCTGTTAGGACCAGGAGCTACCCGGGTCTAAGCCTCGTTCACTGTTGCGTTCGCAGCGCCTACAGTATAATGGGTGCTCAGTAAATATTTGTTGAATAAATGAATACATAATGAAAGAAAAGCATGCCATTTGGAGGCAGAGGCTCACAGATTGGAGCCTTGCGAGGCAGTTAACCTGATTGCGATTGAATTCTTTCAAGACATTAGTTTCATACCCCATCAGTTTCCATGTCTGTGAAATGAGGAAATGAATATTAAAACAGGAGTTTTCATGAGAATTAAGGGAGTTCAGGTGTAAGAAAATGTTTCACAAAATATAAAACAAAAGCATCTTTCTCAGAGTTAAATCAAGGCTGAAGATTGGGTCTTTTGGTGGGCTTGGGTTTGTGAAATGCTCGTGAGCGCCAACAGTGTTTATCAGGCTGTGAGCTGCTTAAAATTAAGGATCAAGTCACATTCATCCTTTATCTCAGTATTGGTAGCAGTGGTTGTTACATAGTCCTTTCTTTACAGTAAGAAATTTAAAGTTAATAAGTAGTACATTATGGTCTGTCCTTTTGAAATATTTAATTCACTTGAAAATGTTGCTATTGTACCAAAGTTTATTGGCTTTTAATAACTCAGCAGTTATAGTAGAACTTATTTATTTATTATTACCGGGAATCCAACTCAGGACCTTGTGCTTGTCAGGCAGGCGCGGTGCCACTGAGCTATATCCCCAGCCCAGTGGAACTTGTTTTATTTACTATCTCTTAATTTAAAAAAAACAAACTAAAGTGTGCTTGAATCAGATTGGAAGAAGTATTTAAGGAAAGTCTTCAGTCATAATTCAGCCAATGATTATTGAGCACTTGTCATGTACTAATGTGCCGTTTAGCTGCTGGGGCTATGGCAGTGAACAGAGGAGGACGGCCTGTCTTAATAGAACTTGCATTCTGAAAAACAAAAAACAAAAAACAAAAGAACTTGCATTCTGGAGAAAGAAAAACAGTGTAGCACCAGGTAGTGATAAGTGTTACCAGGACGGTAAGTCTGGTACAGAGATAAGCACATAGGCTCCATGGAGGGGCGATCTCGCTATTTTTGAAACAGTGAGGATGCTAGGCTCTGAGAAGGAGTGAGTTTTTGTTACTGAAGTTCTTCATAACCTTGTTTTAGCCATAGGAATAAAGATGGCATATAATATATC